AAATAAACGTTGAAAAAAAAATTAAAAAAAAAAATTTTTTTTTTTAATTAGAGAGTCGCATGCTCTAGCAACTGAGCCAGACAGGTGCCCCAAGCAAGAAAATTATAGAATTATGATTTTGTTCTAGAAGAATAACTTCATCCACCAACTGGAGACCGGTTGGGAGGCAAAAGGAGGCTGAGGCGATTGGCCAGACAAAAAAAAGAGACGAAGCCCTGAACTTGGGCAGGAACCATAGGAATAGCAAACAGGGGCAAACGTGAAAGCTGTAGGAGCCACCGGAATTAGCAGTTCATGAGATGCAGAAGCCTTGGGTTTCTGCCGTGAGTAGCTGAAAACTGACATAAGGAGAAGTTCAGGGTGGAGGATGGGGACAGCAGAAACCAGCAGCCCGCGTGCCCGCCGTGGGCACCGCACTTCTCTCAGGCTCTCTCCTCGGAAACCCACCACAGGGAATTATTGCCATTTTACAAGTACAGACACTGGATGTCAAGGAGCGTCCTGCGTCGTGCCCTGGTGCCACAGCGTATAAATAAGCAGCAGAGCTGGGGGGAAAGAGTGGCTTCGGCTTTGCAGATGTTAAGGTTGCGCTGCCAGCAAGAAAACGTGCGTGGCCGTGTCCTGATGGTGGGACCTGGAGTTCGGAGAGACACTGGGTGAGGAACGGGGATTTTGGAGCCACCAGCAGACATGGGTGATGACTAAGCATAGCAACGCGTAAGATCATCAGGTCAGGTAAGAAGAGGAGGGCTCTGGGAAGCACCAGTATTTAAAAAGAGAAGTGGCACCAGGAGGGAGTGGGCGTCTGGAGCCGAGGGTTTCAAGAAGTAGGATGTGAGCAGAAGCAAATAGAAGGAAGGCTGCAAATGGGCATAAGACTTAGCAGCTGGGAGGCCATTGCCAGAGCAGTCTTAGCACTGGGTAGTGGGGGCAGAAGCCACATGGTCATGGTCAAGGAGTACATGGGAGGAGAGGAAGTGGTGGCGGTGGGTGTGACCACTCTACTTGGCAGAAGCTGAGAGAGCAGGGGGCCCTGCTCCCCAGGGAGCTTTTCAGACAGTCTGCTGCTCAGCCCCAGCCCAGACCAACCGAATCAGAATCTTTCCGGGTGGGTTCCAGGCATCCAAGTTTTGGAAGAGCTTCCCCTGTGACTCAGATGCACATAAGGGCTAAGAACCCATGCTCCAAGGCACCTGGCTGGATTGGTCAGTAGAACAAGTGAGTCTGGATCTTGGGGTCATGAGTTCGAGCCCCATGTTGGGTGTAGAGATTATTTAAAAAAAAAAAAAAGAAGAAGAAGAGGAAAAAAAAAGAACCTATGCTCACTTGTGCTCACACAAGTCCACACCTCCTGCCTTCATTTATATGAAATGTCCAGAAAATGCAAATCAAAGAGACAGACATCAGAATAGTGGTTGTCGGGGGTTGGGAATGAACTCTAAATGGCATAGGGTTGGAAGGATGGCAATGACCTGTGGGCACGGGTGCCTGGGTGGCTCAGTCAGTGAGGCATCTGACTCTTAAGCATCTGACTTGATCTCAGGGTCGTGAGTTCAAGCCCCACATTGGGCTCCGTGCTGGCTGGGGAGCCTACTTTAAAAAAAAAAAAAAGGCAGGCACCACCTTGCACCCCAGTGAACTCTGGGCACTGAAAATCAGGAAGAAAGACAACTAGATACTGGGCGTTCCTGACAGGAGAGCACATCACCACCCAGCAATACTCTTGCCCAAATAGCCAACCCAGAGTAAGATCAGACTTCTAGATGCAACCACCAATTTACAAGAAAACCAGAGGACAAAGGAACATGTTAAACTCTACCATGGGAATACAGCCAGCAAAATTCAGACCATAGGAAACTCTACCAGAGGACAGTCTAATTTTTCCAACAAATACAGTGCAAGAAAAAGAAAAGGTTAAAAGAATCTTAAAACAGGGGTGCCTGGCCGGCTCAGTCAGTAGAGCATTGATCTCGGGGTCGTGAGTTTGAGTCTTATGTTGGGTGTAGAGATTACTTAAAACTAAAATCTGTAAGGGCACCTGTGTGGCTCAGTCGGTTAAGTGTCTGACTCTTGGTTTGGGCTCAGGTCATGATCTCATGATTTGTGGAATCGAGCCCCTTGACAGCGTGGAGCCTGCTTGGGATTCTCTCTTTCCTCTCTCTCTCTCTGCCCCTCCCCCTGCTCACGTGCTGGCAAACAAAATTCTCTCTCAAAATAAACATTTTTAGGGGTGCCTGGGTGGTTCAGTCAGTTGAGCGTCTGACTTTAGCTCAGGTCATGATCTCACAGCTTGTGAGTTCGAGCCCCACGTCGGGCTCTGTGCTGACAGCTCAGAGCCTGGAGTCTGCTTCGGATTCTGTGTCTCCCTCTCTCTCTGCCCCTAACCCACTCACATTCTGTCTCTCTCTCAAAAATAAATAAACATTAAAAAAAATTTAAAAAAATAAACATTTTTAAAAACTAAAATAAAACGTAAAAAAAGTTTTTTAAAGAATCTTAAAACACATGCCAATCAATTGCAACATACGGATCTTATTTGGATCCTAATTCAAACAAAGTGAAACCAAATTAGAGCATTAATGAGACAACTGAAAATTTGGACACCAACTGGATGTTTGAAAACATTAAGGACTTTTTTTTTTAAAGTTTATTTGTTTTCAAAGAGACAGAGAGCACAAGCTGGGGAGAGGGGCAGGGAGAGAGGGACAGAGAATCCCAAGCGGGACTCGACCCCACAAACCATGAGATCATGGCCTGAGCTGAAATCAAGAGTCTGATGCTGAACCAACTGAGCCACCCAGGCACCCCACATTAAGGATCTTTTTTTTTTTAACTTTGTTGTAAAGAAAAGTTAGTTGTGATAATTGTATTGTGGTTGCAATAAAAAGAAACATCCTTATGTTTTCTTAGGAAATACACAGCGAGATGTTCATGTATGAAAAGAC